CTGCCTCTACCACTGCCTTATCACTGCCTCTACCATGCTCTATCACTGCCTAACAATGCTCTACATGTCTTACCACTGGCCTTACCACTGCCCTAACATGCCCACTACACTGCTTCACCCATCGCCTCTATTACAATGCCTATACAATGAATTATTGAATTTTAACACGAACTTATATGTTCTATCTACATATACATAGCCTTAACTGCATGTTTAACATTCATACGAAATTTTTGTTACAATTTCTGTCGTTCAATAAACATTATTACCTCCTTATATTATCTGTCCATAATTACCATTCTTATTATGCAGTATTCGATTGTTTTATACATACAATGTTATTCTTGCGTAGTTGTAATACAATGATGTCAAGCCAATAACCTTCCAATCCTTCACACTAGTGCGTCATGCATGTGTCTACAATATTCTGTGTATCAAAAACAAACGACAATGTTGGATGCTGGTTGGGAGCATGTAGTAGGGACTCGCAGGTGGCGGGAAACTTGAATATGATTTGGCGGCTGGGAATTTGGTGGCTGGGAATTTGTCGGTTGGGAATTCGCGAATGTGTGAAGCCCGCGAAAGCTGAAAACGTGAATGTTGAGGGAGACCTGTAATTACACCACGTTTAGTTTTGGTGTCATGGTGAGAGTAGAAGTGCAGAAGATCGTGTTGGTTGGTAGGTTTCTGATAGACTTTAAAACGAAGCTCATGGTCAGCTTTGCAGAGAAGAACATCGAGGAATGGAAGAGTGTTGTCGACTTCTTCTCCTAGTGTGAACTGGATGGAGGGCTCGACCTGGTTGAGCTTGTGTTGGAGAGCTTGAACATTGAAGCGTCTGGGAGTTATGACAAGAATGTCGTCAACATAACGAGGCCAGGTGACAGAAGAGGGAATAATAGTGGAGAAATGCTCGGCTTCCAGATATTCCATGTATAAGTTCGCCAGGATGGCACTAAGTGGCAAACCCATGGGTAGTCCGAAAGTCTGCTGAAAGAGGTGGTTTTTGAAGGAGAAACACGTAAAGCCAACACATAGTTCAAGACAGATGAAATCACTGGCTGGAATAGGAAGATCAAGACGCTTCAACGTTCAAGCTCTCCAACACAAGCTCAACCAGGTTGAGCCCTCCATCCAGTTCACACTAGAAGTAGTAGTCGAGAACACTCTTCCTTTCCTCAATGTTCTTCTCTGCAAAGCTGACCATGAACTTCGTTTTAAAGTCTATCGGAAACCTACCAACCAACACAATCTTCTGCACTTCTACTCTCACCATGACTCCAAAACTAAACGTGGTGTAATCATAGGCTTTTTCCTACGTGTACTTAGAGTCTGCAGCAGTGAGTTCCTTGAAGAAGAATACTCTCTCTTATTGAACAAGTATTTTCTAAACTTCACTATCCTTGTCACTTTATTAGAGACTGCAGACGACGGGCATTAAACATCTTTAACACCCCCAGAGAAGACACTGCCAAAAAGAGATACATAGTCCTCCCCACAAACTCCATTACCAAACACGTTTCCAACATCTTCTCCAAAACCTCATTCCAAGTATCTACTTCCACATCCACCACCATCAAGGACATTACCAGTGATAGACAAGACAAGCTTCAATCCTCTGCAGGGGTATACACAATCCCTTGTAGTGACTGAAGCAAATTATACATCGGTGAAATATCCAGAGACCTCCAAACATGTATTTCAGAACACCAGTATACAGACAGAACTAACAATCCAAGGAATGCCTCTTTTCAACACCGAAATTCACACAACCAATTAATCAACTACAGAAACGCAAGACTTATCGCCAGAGAAGATAACACTCAATACCGAAGAATCCTGGGATCATCACTTATCTGTACATCCAACAACTTCAACCAGAACAACGGCTTCTATAACATAGCTGAACCCCTCGCCAAAAAACTTCTTCATCGCTATCCCACATAAGAACATAAGAATCAAGGAACACTCAGAAGATCCTCTCATGTACTTATCCAATCTCTTTTAAAAGCTACCCAAGTTTTTAGACTTCTTCATTCTACTCCAAAGATTGTCACGTGCACCTTTCTCCACCTGACCCAGCATTCCCATCCTATATATAGTCATGTTCTCCATGGGGAAGTGGAACAGAATTCTTCCTCCGTAAGCCATGCGTGTTGTAAGAGGCGACTAAAATGCCGGGAGCAAGGGGCTAGTAACCTCTTCTCCTGTATATATTACTAAATGTAAAAGGAGAAACTTTCGTTTTTCCTTTTGGGCCACCCCGCCTCGGTGGGATACGGCTGGTGTGTTGAAAGAAAGATATAGTCATGTATGTTTCACCCAGGTAGATCTGTTTGTGACTTGATAAAGCCCACTGCATGGGCAAAATGTTTTCAATAAAGGATCACATTATACTGCTTAAGTGTTTATATTTCCATTGTGTTGGTATTTTATACCATTGATTTCCAGGGGTAGGAGATAGTACAAGCAAAATTGAAATCAAAGTTTGTGTAGTAGGTTAGTGTCATTTAAAAAATCAAAGAGAGAGAGTGCATCAAAGGTGGGTTAGAAATTGAATGTCAGGGATAGACAGTGGACGTGATGGGGATAGTGGGCATGATAGGGATAGATAGTGGGCATGATGGGGATAGATACAAAAAGCAGACAGTGTACCACTAGCCCAGATAGACTCAAGCAACAGTATAATGAAACAGAGTATGAACTAAAACTCCAAAATAAGGAATATCATGACACACAAAGGGTGTACTTTGGTTGTACGTCTTGTCAGGAAATGGATCTCCTGACTAATAAAACAGTCCAAAATAGGATGTCCAACTGTGTAATGTAATTTTGGGTCTTGTAAGTGAACACATACAAAGAAAAACTGGGAGTGCAACAATTGGAGCTTTCCCAGATTTTCCCTGTATCTTCTGATATTCCACTACAATATTGCCATTATGAGTGACTAGTAATACAGCAGTAAACAAAAAATAACCAGGACCTATGGGCAAGGGTGATCAGTAAAGTTGATGTATGGAGGAAGCAGTAGATCAGTAATAATAGAATTGTGGGTAATGGTAGATTTAGAATGAAGGGCAGGTGAGGATGTACGAGGTTGTGGAGGGTGAGAATGTGAAAGTAAAGGGGTGGGTCAACATCCATGGAAATACATTTGCTACTTAACCCTTTGAGGGTTGCCAGGCCCACTCAGAGACTTGTTCTCAGGGTCGCCAAAATTTAAAAAAAAAAAAAATTCTTATGAAAAGATAGAGAATCTTTTTCCGATCATAATGACACCAAAAATATGAAATTTGATGGAAAACTTATGGAATTATGCTCTCGCAAAGTTAGCGGTCTCGACGATGTTTACGCATCGCCAATTTTGCCCACTTTGAGCCCTATTTTTAGCCAATTCCTGTATACTAGTCAACAAAAATCATAACTATTTCACTAGAACTCCATTTTTTCTATTGATTGAGTACAAGAAAGCACCCATTTACTGATTTCAACTATCCAATAAAGTGGTCAGAATTTAGCAATTTTGCCAATTTCACACAAATTTCAAAAGATGCCAGTTTCCAAATAGGGTCCAGAATAAACAAGAAAGACATTCCTGGCACTAAAATAACATTTCCTCTGTTCATTAGTCACATCCCCATGCCCCTCCTACATTTCTTTTGCTTTCCACTTTCAATTTTTATTCTCAAAAAAATAGAAGATTTACTGTTATGCAGACTACTGTATTAGTGTAGAAATGGTATAAATAATACCAGCACGCTTGTGAAAGAATATTAGATTCACCAGTTGATGTGTATTGGACGCTTGGCATGATTTGTTTACTTTTGAACTTTGGCAAAAATCGAACATTTCTGCTAATTTGAGCTCAATTTCAAGGTACTTTTCATTGTGAAACCAATCAAAATCATCTCAGTTTCTGTAATATGTCTTCCATTCTATAAAATAAGACCAGGAAAACTAGAATACAACCATAAATACTATACGAAAATACAGTGCAAAGTCGCTGTTTTAAACCAAAAACACGGTCAAAGTTTTTTTTTTCTCATTATGCACTGTGTGCTGTAGGATTTTTTTTATACTGCGCACACTGACCACATAGACCCATTCTTTCATATGTAGGCCTACCAGCTTTCTCTTGCCGTATTAGTACGGCCGAAACCTCGAAAGGGTTAAACTGCCACCAACTTAATATAATAATATGTATGGGGGCTACCTCTATGTATGGACTTGAATTTTTCACTATTGGGTACCTTTTGAAAGTGTATTCTGACACCAGAGAGCAGGAGGGAGGGAGAGATGGAGGGAGGGAAGGAGGGAGAGATAGAGGGAGGAAGGGAGGTAGAGAGAAATGGAAGAAGGTAGAGAGGGGAAGGGAATAAAAGAGATGGAAGCAAGGAGACATTTATATATAATAATATTTATTACACATGTTTGTGTAAAGGTTTGCTGGGGTTGTGTACTGGTTATAATGGTTTGGCAATATATCAGTTGATTGTGTGCTGGACTCGAGTCCTGGAGGTGGGAAGTACAGTACTAACATACTGAAAGAGGCATTGGGGATATTGCAGTATGGAGGAGCATTTGAGCTGTAGTGTCAGCACACCCATGGCAAGACAGTGATGGAGTGAGTGATGGTGAAAGTGTTTCTTTCTTTGGGTCACTCTATCTCAGTGGGAGATGGCAGCTGTATTAAAAAAATAATTATTTCTTTATTTTTTACCCAATCTTTCCTTGTACTTTTCCTTTCTGGGCAAGTTCTTCCTCATGCTATGAAAATGGGAATTTAGGTAATGTTGATTTATTTTAAGTGGGATGGTAACCTAGTTAAGTAAAGTGGTTAATTTATTTATTTAGCTGCATATTATATTTGCCAGATGGTTGGATTTTGAAAATATAATAATTTTTAATGCTACTTGGTTTATTCCATAAATAATCGTATTTTGCTTTTTAAATTTTTACATAGGCAGTATTATTTGTAAAATGGAAATTAATATTTACAGGTTCGCCAATTCATCAGTGATTTTGCTGTTATTATTGCTATTGTTGCAATGAGTGGTGTTGACTTTGCTATTGGCATCCATACTCCAAAGTTGGATGTTCCATCAGAATTCAAACCTACATGGGAAGGCCGTGGATGGGTTATTCCTCCCTTCGATGGTAAGTGTTCTGTAATTGTTTAAAATCATGGTAGCTTTTTTTATAAAGCTGGAAATTCAGAGGTCTAATTACAGTTATTCAAGCTATTTTGAGTTTTTCACGTTAGAATTATTTTGTTGTTTTATTTTGTAGGTTTCATTTTTTCTAGATTGTAGGATTCATAACATATAATACACATTTTGGTGCTAACATTAAAGCTATTTATTTTCTTTATTTAATCTTCCCTCCTTCTCTCTTCACCTTCAGTTTCTTTTAGTTCTAACAGCATCAGGTTAACCTGAAGGAAATCTTGAACTGGAATTAGGATTTTTGGGGCAACTGGATGGATCAGACTTTGATTCATCCATGAAGTAGTAATAAAACTCAAATGTGATGTGATTTCTGTACCTAGACACATACCAGTGACTGACTTGAAGAGTTCTACTCTTGCAGCCTAACCCTGCCTTAGGTAGACTTCCCTCTTGACAACAAGAGTCTTACAAAAAGATAATGGTCTTACATAAAAGTAATGGTCATACATGAAAGTAATGGCCTTACAAAAAAGTACTCATTAAAAAAAGCTTTTATCATACATAAAATCATTTGTCATAGAAAAAGCATTTACTATTATAGGAGAGCATTAGTTGTATATAATCCAAGATTTGTTGTATGTTAAAAGCAACAAATCAGTTAAAAGTTTTCTGGGGTAATAGAGTTGTATGTGACAATAATATATATATTCAAGGTTCATTCCAGGTCAAAAACAGCAAATAAAAATTACTGAGAAAAAGGAAATGGATAAAAGCATCTAGGCATATTCTACATCCCACATTACAAAAAAAATTTAATGTTATAACTACAGGTTGCTTAGAACTCATGGGGAGAGATGGGATAAAGCCCACAAGACACATTGCTGAGGACTGGGAGATGGTGGGGGTATTCATGTTTAATCCCAAAAAAGGAGAGTAGGATTTATTCTTTTTCTGAGGAACCCTTCATCATCATTATGGCATCCTCCATGAAGGGTGTGTAGAGAGTAGAACAGATGGCCTGGGTTGCTCTACAAATATTATCCTTTATCTTCCCTTTACAGTACTCTTGTAGCATGTAATACTTTATCATTTTCTCTTTCTATATGTTTTTTAATTGCACTTTTATATCATTTTGAAGTTTACTCGCTTTTTGTCCCATATACGCTTGCTGACGGTAGGGCTCAATACTTTTACATATTTTCAATTCTTAATTCAAGCTTGTTCCAATGCATTTTCAGTTGTGTTAGACGAAGTAGAATGTAAAATTCTTTATATGTCAAGTTCTCCTCAGAGAGGTTTTGTAATTTTTGAAGAAGCTTAAAATAGCTAAGGAGAATTATACATGTGGTCTTCACATTGAAGATTTAGAGAAATTGAGATGGTTATGTCAGAATGTGCCTGTAGAGAAGTAATCAATATATGTATGTTTCTAGGTAACCCTTGGTGGTCACCCTTGGCTGCCTTCATTCCTGCATTACTTGCCTGCATTCTTCTCTTCATGGACCAGCAAATTACAGCTGTTATTGTTAACAGAAAGGAACACAAGCTTAAGGTTTGTAATGCAGCTTTATTGTCTTATTACAAAACAATTTTATTTGATAATTTTTTTGAATAATTGAAGATGTTCTCCATGGGGAAGTGGAACAGAATTCTTCCTCCATAAACCATGCATGTCATAAGAGGCAACTAAAATGCTGGGAGCAAGGGGCTAGTAACCCCTTCTCTTGTATACATTACGGGAGTTAAAAAGATAAACTTGTTTTTACTTTTTGGGCCATCCTGCAACAGTGGGATACAACCAGTTTGTTGAAAGAAGAATTGAAGATGTTACTATTTGTTTAAAACAAATTGGCATAAAATATCATTTTGTTACTCCTAATTATGCTTAGTTTTGATGTGTAAATATTTGCTTGCATTTGCAGAAGGGTGGCGGCTACCATCTGGATTTGTTTGTCTTGGCTGTTCTCATTATGATCAACTCAGTGATGGGTCTGCCATGGTTTGTAGCAGCTACTGTGCTATCCATCAATCATGTCAACTCTCTCAAGTTAGAATCTGAGTGTGCTGCACCTGGCGAAAAACCAAAATTCCTTGGGGTTAGGTATGTTTTTGGGCTTGAAACGAGTTAGTTGGGACATGTTTGTGTAGATGAAGCTGTAGTTGACAAAGTAAATAGGAGAGTACAGATTTACTTGCAAGACAATAAAATGATTGACTTAAGTAGATGAGGAGTGGATTTGAATGTCATACTGCCAACAGTATTGAAGAAAAGACAAAGGATCTGGAGTCAGCATTTATAGGGACAACATTTGGCTGTGTTTATGACCTGATAAAGCTCTTAACAGTAAAATATTATCCCAATAACAGCTTGTTCTGCTGTGTGAACCTTCAGTAGGTGAGGAGTAGGTGAGGCTAAAGAATAAGTGGGGGAGAGAAAGTATAAAATTCTTAAATTCTGTTTTGTAATTGTCAGTGTCAGTGAGATCAAATTTGAATAGGAAGATATTCAATTATAGGGGAGGATACAGTGTGGATACATTCTCATATTGGATGGTCCACTGAGAGAGGGGGTGGGTCCCATAGCTTTATGCAAAATTAAGTGTTACTTACTTTCATCTTTCAGAGAAAACCGTTTGACTCACATTACTATATTTGTCTTCATTGGCTTATCAGTAGTAATGACACCAATCCTACGCAAGATTCCCATGCCTGTATTATTTGGTGTCTTCCTGTACATGGGCATTGCAGCGCTGAAAGGTATTCAGTTCTTCGATCGCATCCTCATCATGTTTATGCCTGTCAAGTATCAACCTGATTACACCTTCCTGAGACAGGTATGCATTTTTCTCTAATATTCTAATGCAAGCAGATTATTCATAGACTTATAAAACTGTGGTTCAGAAACTTACCAACTTTTTTTTTTGTGTGTGTGTGTGTATGCATATTTATTTTTGTGTGTGTGTTTGTTGAATGGTATCCCACATGTAGACAGTAAAACAAAATTGGAACCTAAAACTGCATATTTTAACCCAAACTGGAATATTCATCAGCAGAATTTCTTATGTCCTGTATATTATTATGGGAAATCTTTAAACATTGACAGTGTTTACTACACTTTTATTTTGTGATCAAATAATAACAGATTTGATACAAAATAAGAGTTATCACTGTTGCTCTGTGACATTCTGAAGAGAAATAGAAAAAGTTGGTGGACAGATTTTGGAGGGCAAGTAGAAGTAGAAAATTAAAATTGAATATAGGAAAGAGGGTAACAGAAAGTCTAAGCACTCACAGATTGAATATTAGATAAAGGGAAAGGGGACAAAAGAGATTGTAAAAATTATAGAGGAATAAGTTTACTGAGTATACCAGGAAAAGTATACGGTAGGGTTATAATTGAAAGAATTAGAGGTAAGACAGAATGTAGAATTGCGGACGAACAAGGAGGTTTCAGAGTGGGTAGGGGATGTGTAGATCAAGTGTTTACATTGAAGCATATATGTGAACAGTATTTAGATAAAGGTAGGGAAGTTTTTATTGCATTTATGGATTTAGAAAAGGCATATGATAGAGTGGATAGAGGAGCAATGTGGCAGATGTTGCAAGTATATGGAATAGGTGGTAAGTTAATAAATGCTGTAAAGAGCTTTTATGAGGATAGTGAGGCTCAGGTTAGGGTGTGTAGAAAAGAGGGAGAATACTTCCCGGTAAAAGTAGGTCTTAGACAGGGATGTGTAATGTCACCATGGTTGTTTAATATATTTATAGATGGGGTTGTAAAAGAAGTAAATGCTAGGGTGTTCGGGAGAGGGGTGGGATTAAATTATGGGGAATCAAATTCAAAATGGGAATTGACACAGTTACTTTTTGCTGATGATACTGTGCTTATGGGAGATTCTAAAGAAAAATTGCAAAGGTTAGTGGATGAGTTTGAGAATGTGTGTAAAGGTAGAAAGTTGAAAGTGAACATAGAAAAGAGTAAGGTGATGAGGGTATCAAATGATTTAGATAAAGAAAAATTGGATATCAAATTGGGGAGGAGGAGTATGGAAGAAGTGAATGTTTTCAGATACTTGGGAGTTGACGTGTCGGCGGATGGATTTATGAAGGATGAGGTTAATCATAGAATTGATGAGGGAAAAAAGGTGAGTGGTGCGTTGAGGTATATGTGGAGTCAAAAAACGTTATCTATGGAGGCAAAGAAGGGAATGTATGAAAGTATAGTAGTACCAACACTCTTATATGGATGTGAAGCTTGGGTGGTAAATGCAGCAGCGAGGAGACGGTTGGAGGCAGTGGAGATGTCCTGTCTAAGGGCAATGTGTGGTGTAAATATTATGCAGAAAATTCGGAGTGTGGAAATTAGGAGAAGGTGTGGAGTTAATAAAAGCATTAGTCAGAGGGCAGAAGAGGGGTTGTTGAGGTGGTTTGGTCATTTAGAGAGAATGGATCAAAGTAGAATGACATGGAAAGCATATAAATCTATAGGGGAAGGAAAGAGGGGTAGGGGTCGTCCTCGAAAGGGTTGGAAAGAGGGGGTAAAGGAGGTTTTGTGGGGTGAGGGGCTTGGACTTCCAGCAAGCGTGCATGAGCGTGTTAGATAGGAGTGAATGGAGACGAATGATACTTGGGACCTGACGATCTGTTGGAGTGTGAGCAGGGTAATATTTAGTGAAGGGATTCAGGGAAACCGGTTATTTTCATATAGTCGGACTTGAGTCCTGGAAATGGGAAGTACAATGCCTGCACTTTAAAGGAGGGGTTTGGGATATTGGCAGTTTGGAGGGATATGTTGTGTATCTCTATACGTATATGCTTCTAAACTGTTATATTCTGAGCACCTCTGCAAAAGCAGTGATAATGTGTGAGTGTGGTGAAAGTGTTGAATGATGATGAAAGTATTTTCTTTTTGGGGATTTTCTTTCTTTTTTGGGTCACCCTGCCTCGGTGGGAGACGACCGACTTGTTGAAAAAAAAAAAAAAAAAAAAAAAGGTAGGGAGTGTGGAAGTGGATGCATTCAGATATTTGGGAGTGGATAGGACAGCACATGAGCCTGTGAAAAACAGAGTGAACCATAGAATACATGAGTGGAGACAGCTATTAACCCTTTGAAGGTCCAGTCCCCTAATCTGAGAATTGCTGCCAGGATCCAAGAATTTACAAAAAAAAAAAAAAAAAAAAATTCCTATGGAATGGTAGAGAATCTTTTCCCGAAGGTCATAAAACAAAAAGTACAAAATTTTATGGAAAATTGATGAAATTACAATTTTACAGTGTCAGCACTATTAATGTATCGTCGGTTTTCCCTCACTTTGAGTCCTAGTTTAGGCCAATTACATTGTTCCAGTCACCAAGATTATTAGCTATTTCACTAGTATGCCTTCAGTTTTATCGACTGAGCTCAGGAAACTGCCCGTCAACTATTTCAGCTACCCAATAAAGTAATCAGCAATAAGTAATTTGTCCAATTTCACACAAATTTCAAAATATTCCAATTTCAAAATAGGGTTGAGAATAAACACTGCAGACATTCCTGGCACTAAAATAACATTTCCTCTTTTCATTAGTTACATTCCCAGGCTTTACATATGAATTCTATTTTGATTTTTTATTCACACAAATAATTTTTATTCATGCAAAAAATTTAAGATTTACTGTTATGCAATATTGTAATAATTGTGCAAATAATATCAGTGCTTTTGTGAATGCATATTAGAACCACCAGTTGATGTGTATTAGACACATGATGTGATTTGTTTACTCTAGAACATCAGCAAGAATCTAACATTTCTGCTAATTTGAGCTCAATTTCAAGCTATTTTCCATCCTAAAACTAATCAACATCATCTTCATTTGTGTAATATATCTTCCATTCTATCAAATAAGACCAAGAAATCATGAATACAACCATAAAAACTATACGAAAATACACCGGAAATTTTCTGCTTTAAACCAAAAACATGGTTGCAGTTTTATCTCACTATGCGCTGCATGGAGAGACATACTGCATAGACCCATTCTCTCATATCATGGCTCAAACTTACCAATCTGAGTGAGCTGAGCTCATCATGGATTTTTTCTCCTTTTACACTCCCTCACCACTCTCTTAACCTCTCCTCTACTCTCCATACACTCCACCTTCATATCACTTCTGTTTTGTAAAAACCTCTCATATGCTAACTTTTTCTCCATTACCACTCTCTTTATCTCATTATTATACTAATCACTCCTCTTTTCACCCTTCTATATCCACAGACTTCTGATGCGCACTCTAACACTGCATTCTTAAATCTACCATATACCTCTATGACCTCATCATTACCTGTAATCTCCCAAATGGATCTGACAGTTAAAAACAGAATAGAGGAGTTAAAAGATGGGGAGTAGGAGGTATTGGGAAGATGGTGGGAATATTTTGAGGAACTGTTGAATGTTAATGAAGAGAGAGAGACAGTAATTTCATGCATTGGCCAGGGAGGTATAATAATAACAACAATAATAATAATAATAATAAATTTATTTTGACATGATACATGGTTGTACAAAGGAATATAATAGTTGAGTGTACATGCCAAAAGTCCCTTGTATGCAGAGCATTTTGAGCAAACATAAAGTAACTTAAGATTAATAAGGCTATAACAGATTAAATGGTCATTAGATGAGTTACAGTGAGTACAAGAGACCTGAACATTAATTGGTAATGATATATGGCTTTAATAAGTCTAGTAGAGAATAATTATGGGTTTGAATTATTTTATAAAAATGACAGTATTTAGCAATTTACAATATGAAGTATTACAGTTGAGTACATATTTTAAAATGATGAAATTTGAACATTATAATTTTGAAGTATTACAAGAGAACAATTTAAACAATTTACAATATGAAGTATTACAATTTAGTATTCAAAACAATGAAATTTGAATATCCTAATTTTGAAGTAATGAGTACATAGTTGAGTAATCTTCAGCACAATAATCAGTATTGAAATTGAGGCATCATTAGTACTTTTTGTGTAGCTTTTGAGTAACTGGTAGGTATTAACCCTTTGACTGTTTCGGTCGTATATATACGTCTTACGAGGTACCATGTTTGATGTATATATACTCATAAATTCTAGCAGCTTCAAATCAAGCAGGAGAAAGCTGGTAGGCCTGCATGTGAGAGAATGGGTCTGTGTGGTCAGTGTGCACCATATAAAAAAAATCCTGGAGCATGCAGTGCATAATTAAAACGCTGATTTTGTGGTCTATTTTTGTATATTATTTATCATTGTATTCTCGTTTTCTTGGTTTCATTTGGTAAAATGGAAAACATATTGATTGGTTTTGCTATAAAAAGAACCTGGAAATGGAGCTCAAAGTAGGGGAAATGTTTGATTTTTGCCAATGTTCAAAAGTAAACAATGATGTCACTGTCCAATAAATGTCCAACTAGCAATTCTGATATGCAGTCATGAATGGTTGACATTATTTGTACAATTATTACAGTATTGCAGTAGTCTGCATAACAGTAAATCTTCTATTTTTTTGTTTGAATAAAAATTCAAAATATAAAGCAAGAGTAATATCAGAGGGGCCTGGAGACGTGACTGATGAACAAAGAAAATGTTATTTTAGAGCCAGGAATGTCTGTGTTGTTCATTCTGGACACTATTTTGAAATTGTCATATTTTTTAATTTTTTGTGAAATTGGCCAAATTGCAAATTTCTGACCACATTATTGGGTAGTTGAAATCAGTAAATGCTCAGTTTCTTGTACTCAATTGATAGGAAAATTGGAGTTCTAAAGAAATAGCTATGAGTTTGGTCGACTGGAACAATGGAATTAGCCGAAAATAGGAGTCAAAGTGGGCGAAATCGCCAATTTGTAAATATCGCCGAGGTTGCTAACTTCGCGAGAGCGTAATTCCATCAGTTTTCCATCAAATTTCATTTTTTTGGTGTCATTACAACCTTTCTGCCAATAGTTGCTTATATCTAACTCGAACTTCCTCCTTCCTTAGTTTATACACTTTCACCTCCCTCTTACTTGTTGTTGCCATTTTCCTCTTGTCCCATCTACCTCTTACTCTAACTGTAGCTACAACTAAATAATGATCCGATATATAAGTTGCCCCTCTATAAACGTGTACATCCTGGAGCCTACCCATCAACTTCTTGTCCACCAATACATAATCTAACAAACCACTTTCATTACGTGCTATATCATACCTTGTATATTTATTTATCTTCTTTTTCATAAAATATGTATTACTTATTACTAAACCTCTTTCTACACATAGCTCAATTAAAGGCTCCCCATTTTCATTTACCCCTGGCACCCCAAATTTACCTACTACTCCTTCCACATTTTTACCCACTTTAGCATTGAAATTCCCAACCACAAGTACTCTCACACTTGGCTCAAAATTCCCCACGCATTCACTCAACATTTCCCAAAATCTCTCTTTCTCCTCTACACTTCTCTCTTCTCTAGGTGCATATACGCTTACTATAACCCACTTTTCACATCCAACCTTTATTTTACTCCACATAATCCTTGAATTAATACATTTATAGTCCCTCTTTTCCTGCCATAGCTTATCCTTCAACATTATTGCTACTCCTTCTTTAGCTCTAACTCTATTTGAAACCCCTGACCTAATGCCATTTATTCCTCTCCACTGAAACTCTCCCACCCCCTTCAGCTTTGTTTCACTTCAGGCCAGGGTATCCAGCTTCGTCTCATTCATAACATCTACAGTCATCTCTTTCTCATCATTCACACAACATCCAAGTGCATTCAGACATCCCACTTTGACAATTTTCTTCTTCTTATTGTTTTTAGTAATTATTACAGGAAAAGGGGTTACTAGCCCATTGTTCCTGGCATTTTAGTTGACTTTTACAACATGCATGGCTTACAGAGGAAAGATTCTTATTCCATTTCCCCATGGATATAAAAGGAAAAGTAATAAGAACAAGAACTATTAACCCTTTGGGGGTTTTGGATATACTGGTACGTCTTACGACCCAGGGTTTTTGATGTACTGGTATGCCTAAATTCTAGCACCCTCAAATCTAGTGAGAGAAAGCTGGTAGGCCTACATATGTAACAATCGGTCTTTGTGGTCAGTGTGCGTAGTATAAAAAAAAATCCTGCAGCACACAGTGAGTAATGAGAAAAAGAAAAACTTTGACCGTGTTTTTGGATTAAAACAGCGACTTTGCACTGTATTTTTGTATGGTATTTATTGTTGTCTTCTAGTTTTCTTGATCTCATTTTATAGAATGGAAGACATGTTACAGAAATTGAGATGATTTTGGCTGGTTTTACAATGAAAAATACCTTGAAATTGAGCTCAAAGTAGCAGAAATGTTTGATTTTTACCAAAGTTCAAAAGTAAACAAATCATGCCAAGCGTCCAATACACATCAACTAGTGAGTCTAATATTCTTTCACAAGTGTGCTGATATTATTTATGCCATTTCTACACTAATGCAGTAGTCTGCATAACAGTAAATCTTATTTTTTTTGTAAGAATGAAAATTCAAAGTGGAAAGCCAAAGAAATATAAGAGGGGCCTGGGGATGTGACTAACGAACAGAGAATTTGTTATTTTAGTGCCAGGAATGTCTTTCTTGTTTATTCTGGACCCTATTTGGAAATTGGCATCTTTTGAAATTTGTGTGAAATTTGCAAAATTGCTAAATTCTGACCACTTTATTGGATAGTTGAAATCGGTAAATGGATGGTTTCTTTTACTCATTCGATAGAAAAAATGGGGTTTTAGCGAAATAATTATGATTTTTGTTGACTAGTACACTGGAATTGGCTGAAAATAGGGCTCAAAGTGGGCAAAATCGCCGATGCTTAAACATTGTCAAGACCGCTAACTTCACGAGAGCATAATTCCATAAGTTTTCCATCAAATTTCATACTTTTGGTGCCATTATGATCGGGAAAAGATTCTCTATCTTTTCATAAGAAAAAAAAATTTTTTTTTTAAATTTGGCCAACCCTGAGAACAAGTCTCTGAGAGGACCTGTCAGCCCCCAAAGGGTTAAGATAAAAGGAAAGAAAACTCAGATGAGTGTGTATAAATAAATGTGTACATGTATGTGTAGTGTGACCTAAGTGTAAGTAGAAGTAGCAAAACGTACCTGTAATCTTGCATATTTATGAGACAGACAAAAGACACCAGCAATCCTACCATCATGTAAAACAATTACAGGCTTTCATTTTACACTCACTTGGCAGGACGGTAGTACCTCCCTGGGTGATTGCTGTCTACCAACCTACTACTTTATATATGTATTTTTTTATTTATTATCCAAATGTTTGGATAATATAATACATCAAGATGTTTTCCATGACTTTGGTACAGTATGTTTCTTCCTTACTCATCTGAGATTTCCAGGAGGAAAATCTATTTTTGAAGTTATTTCTCTATATATTTTTGTGTGCATAATATTGAAAAGAATCTCAACTGTTGCTTAAGCTCGGATATAATTATTCATCATTATATAATTTTCAGGTTCCTTTGAAAAAGGTACACTTGTTCACTGCAATCCAGCTGGCCTGCTTGGTAGTACTGTGGGTCATCAAGTCCTTCAAACAGACCTCAATCCTCTTCCCACTCATGGTTAGTTTGCAGATTTCTTGTTGCTAGAATACTCACAAGCTAAGATTATATATCATTATTGGTTATACAAAATAATATTCAGTAGAGTTATAACATTGCTTTAAATTAAAGGTGCAATAAATGTGAATGTATTTAAGAATATGTTTTAACATTCACTGAGATAATTTCACGTGCAGTTCTAGTGTGTGTCATTTCTTTAATTTGGAATTATTTAAGGAGAAATATCTATCTGTCCTAAAGAAGTAGTGGAAAATGACCAACAAATTCATAACTACAGTACTGGGCATCAATTGGTATCAAATTCACTGAAGCTTATCTGTTTATTATAGTTGTATATTTTTTAATTTGGCATTTTCAGTTAGTGGTGATGATTGGCATTCGGAAAAGCTTGGATTGGATATTCACTCAGCGGGAACTCAAGATTTTGGATGACACCTTACCAGAGTTTAGTCGTAAGAAGAGAATGGAAATAGAAGTTGATGATGATGAAGATGAAGAAACAAAGATAGGAAAAGAAACAGTAAGAATAATAAATTTTTAAATTACTTAAGTCTGTGTGTAAGTGAGATATGAGGAAGGAGAATAGAGGGAGTAAATGTGTTCAGATATTTGGTGGTGGACTTGTCAGCAAACAAGTCTATGAAAGATGAGGTGATTCATAGAATTGACAAGGAAAATAAAGGTGGGTGATGGAGTGAGGCATCTGTGGAGACAGACAGCCTTATCACTTGAGGCAAAAAGAGAAATGTGGAAGAGTACAGTGGTGCTGACACTGGTTTAAGAGTGTTAAGCATGGATTGTAAACATTGCAGCAAGGAGGAGGCTGGAGGCAATGGAGATATCGTGTCTGAGGGCAATGTGTGGTGTGAATATTATGCAGAGAATTCATGGTTTAGAGATTAGGAGGAGGTGTGGAGTTACTAAAAGTATTATCCAGATGACTGAGGAGGGATTGTTGAGATGGCTTGGACACTTAGAGAGGGTGGAACAAAATAGAATGACTGGGAGGATGTAAAAATCTGGCAGGGTAGGGGTCATCTCACAAAAGATTGAAGGAAGGGATAAAGGAGACTTTGTGTGCAATGGGCATGGACATGCAAGAGGTGTATGTTGATGTCTTAGGAGTGGAGGCAAGTGGTTTTCATGATGACATGCTGTTTGAGTGTGAGCAAGGTAACATTTATGAAGGGATTCAGGGAAATTGGTTAGCTGGACTTGAGTCCTGGAGGTGGGAAGTACAGTGCCTGCACTCTAAAGGAGGGGTGGGGACATCTGCAGTTATGATTGTAGTATCGGCATGCCTTTGGCTAGACAGTGATGGAGTGAGTGATGGTGAAAGTTTTTTTTTTTTTGGTGTGTGTATACTCATCTATTTGTGCTCACCTATTTGTGGTTGTAGGGGTTGAGTCTTAGCTCCTGGCCCTGCCTCTTCACTGGTTGCTACTGGGTCCTCTCTCCCTGCTTCATGAGCTTTATCAAACCTCGTCTTAAAGCTATGTATGGTTCCCGCCTCCATTACATCACTTTCTAGGCTATTCCACTGCTTGACAACTCTATGACTGAAGAAGTACTTTCTAACATCCCTTTGACTCATCTGATTCTTCAACTTCCAATTGTGACCTCTTGTTTCTGTGACCCCTCCCTGGAACATCCTGTCTTTGTCCACCTTGTCTATTCCGCGCAGTATTTTATATGTCGTTATTATGTCTCCCCTGACCCTCCTGTCCTCCAGTGTCATCAGGCCGATTTCCCTTAACTTTTCTTCATAGGACATTCCCCTTAGCTCTGGAACTAACCTTGTCACAAACCTTTGCACTTTCCCTAATTTCTTGACGTGCTTGATCAAGTGCGAGTTCCAAACAGGTGCTGCATACTCCAGTATGGGCCTGACGTACACAGTGTACAGTGTCTTGAACGATTCCTTACTAAGGTATCAGAACGCTGTTCTCAGGTTTGCCAGGTGCCCATATGCTGCAGCAGTTATCTGGTTGATGTGTGCTTCCAGAGACATGCTCGGTGTTATACTCACCCCATGATCTTTCTCCTTGAGCGAAGTTTGCAGTCTTTGTCCACCTAGCCTTTACTCCGTCTGCGGTCTTCTGTGCCCTTCCCTGATCTTCATGACTTTGCATTTGGCAGGGTTAAATTCGAGAAGCCAGTTGCTGGACCAGGTGTCCAGTCTGTCCAGGTCTCTTTGAAGTCCTGCCTGATCCTCATCTGATTTAATTCTCCTCATTAACGTCACATCATCTGCGAACAGGGACACTTCTGAGTCTAACCCTTCCATCATGTCATTCACATATATCAAAAATATCACTGGTCCTAGGACTGACCCCTGTGTGTGTGTGTGTGTGTGTGTGTACTGACCTATTTGTACTCACCTATTTGTGGTTGCAGGGGTCGAGTCCTAGCTCCTGGCCCCGCCTCTTCACCGGTTGCTACTAGACCCTCTCTCTCCCCGCTCCATGAGCTTTATCAAACCTCGTCTTAAAACTGTGTATGGTTCCTGCCTCCACTACGTCATTTTCTAGGCTATTCCACTGCCTTACAACTCTATGACTGAAGAAATACTTCCTACTATCTCTCTGACTCATTTGTGTCTTCAACTTCCAATTGTGGCCTCTTGTTTCTGTGTCCCCTCCCTGGAACATCCTGTCCTTGTCCACCTTGTCTATTCCACGCAGTATTTTATATGTCGTTATCATGTCTCCCCTGACCCTCCTGTCCTCCAGTGTTGTCAGGCCGAGTATAAATGCCAACCAGCACGGATTCACGGAAGGCAAATCCTGTGTCACAAACCTTCTGGAGTTTTATGATAAAATAACAGAAGTAAGACAAGAGAGAGAGGGGTGGGTTGATTGCATCTTCTTGGACTGCAAGAAGGCCTTTGACACAGTTCCTCACAAGAGATTAGTGCAGAAGCTAGAGCATCAGGCGCATATAACAGGAAGGACACTGCAATGGATCAGAGAATACCTGACAGGGAGGCAACAACGAGTCATGGTACGTAATGATGTATCACAGTGGGCACCTGTGATGAGCGGGGTCCCACAGGGGTCGGTCCTAGGACCAGTGCTATTTTTGGTATATGTGAACGACATGACGGAAGGGTTAGACTCAGAAGTGTCCCTGTTTGCAGATGATGTGAAGTTAATGAGGAGAATTAAATCTGATGAGGACCAGGCAGGACTTCAAAGAGACCTGGACAGACTGGACACCTGGTCCAGCAAATGGCTTCTCGAATTTAATCCTGCCAAATGCAAAGTCATGAAGATAGGGGAAGGGCACAGAAGACCACAGACAGAGTATAGGCTAGGTGGCCAAAGACTGCAAACCTCACTCAAGGAGAAAGATCTTGGGGTGAGTATAACACCGAGCATGTCTCCGGAAGCACACATCAATCAGATAACTGCTGCAGCATATGGGCGCCTGGCAAACCTGAGAACAGCATTCCGACACCTTAGTAAGGAATCATTCAAGACACTGTACACCGTGTATGTCAGGCCCATACTGGAGTATGCAGCACCTGTTTGGAACCCGCACTTGATAAAGCACGTCAAGTGTGTGTGTGTGTGTGTGTGTGTGTGTGTGTGTGTGTGTGTGTGTGTGTGTGTGTGTGTGTGTGTGTGCGTGTGTGTGTGTGTGTGCGCGTGTGCGCGTGTGTGCATGTGTGTGCTTGTGTGCTTGTGTGGCGTAAATATGCAGAGAATTCGTAGTGTTGAAATTAGGAGGTGTGGAGTTATTAAAAGCATTATACAGAGGGCTGAAGAGGGGTTGTTGAGGTGGTTAGGTCATTTAGAGAAGATGGAGCAAAATAAGATAACTTGGAGGGTGTATAAATCTATAGTGGAGGGGAGGAGGGGTAGGAATCTTCCTAGGAAAGGTTGGAGGGAGGGGGTAAAAGAGGTTTTTGTGTGCAAGGGGCTTGGACATGCAGCAGACATGCGTGAGCATGTTAGATAGGAGTGAATGGAGACGAATTGGTTTTGGGAGCTGATGAGCTGTTGGAGTTTGAGCAGGGTAATATTTTGTGAAGGGATTCAGGGAAACAGGTTTACTGGACTTGAGTCCTGGAGGCAGGCAGTACATTGCCTGCATTTTAACCCTTAAATGGTCCAAACGTATATATACGTTTTTTCAACATCTGAAAGTATGTAAAAAATGTGATCTTCTTTTTTTTTTTTTTTCCTTGAAAACATGTAAAAAAAAACTTTTACCTACATTTTTTTTGTTATATTTGAAAATATGTAAAAAAAAGTAGATCTACTTTTGTAGCCCCTATAAATTTGAACGTCAGTCTGTTTGGGACCGTTTAACCCCTTCAGGGTCCAAGGCCAAAATCTGAAGTGGTTGCTCAGTGTCCAAGAAATTTTGAAAAAAAAAAAAATTATTTTTCTTACAGAATTAAAGAGCATATTTTTGTAAAGGGTTAAATAAGACAAAAAAAAAATTCTGATCAGTACTTACCGAGATACAGTGCAAGAAGTTTGTCAAAAATGATGTGGTGGCGGCAACATCGACGAATTCCACATGCGCATTACTTTTATTTTGCGGTTTTTTTTTATTTTTTTTCTTTTCTTTTCCAATTTTTTTTCTATTCCTACTAAATTTGGGGCCTGAGAGACCAATACTGTATATAATGTATATATATAAACTCACTGTATTGAACACAAAAAACCGCACTAAAGTTATTATCATATTATTGTTTACCACTGTTTTTTTATTACAATAAACATGCACAAATCTTGTATAATACTAATGTTCTTTTCATATATTTACATATTTACAATCACGGGGACATGGTTTTAGAAACTGCTGGGGGTTGTGGAAAACTCCTTGAAAAAGGCCCCATGCGCAGAGGCACCTACATTCCTCACACAAAAACCCGGAGTGTCTTTGCATCTTTGTTGCCGTCGTTTTGTTTGTGCACAGACGATGCATCTTTTGAGCAAATTTCTTTTGAGTTAAAGGGAAAGTTGTATTATGAAATGATCACCTTCCCTCCTCAAACGCTTTGGGTATATCCTGAGGAATTCGAGGACCGTGTTGTATAGCAGGTGTTCTTACCTGGTTTATTTTCATTATGAGTTGTCTGACAACAGACAAAAAAAAATTCACCATACGGTGGTCTGTTGCCAGTCTTTATTTGGTACATATTATATGCATTGAGCATTGAAATGTCCATGAGATGGAAGAAAAGTTTCATGTACCACTTGTAACTCTTACGAACACAGTCAACAAAACCAATCTGCATGTCACATTTGTCAACCAAGTGCATGTTTTGTGTATAATCATCACTGTCACTGTTTTTCGAATACGTTCATTAGTCACTCGATCAACTTTGCCACTGTCTTGCATTTCATTTTCGGTGAATGGTTGTCAACAATGTGACATCTCGTTTGTCATTTCCACCGTAATGCCATGATGTCATTGGCAGTAAACACCTGCACGTCATCACCACGAGCACCCGTGTTGAGCCCGGGCATATGTTTATGATTAGAACGCACTGTGCCACACACA